TTGCAGAATAAAAACAAGCAGTCCTGCTAACAAAACAGCTCTTGGTGAAAAGGCACAACCCCTTTGTGTGACCAATTTTACAGCCCTAACCCCAGCCTTATTCCTGTCTGTGGTGTATTCCTATTTTTGAAAGAAAATGTTGAGGTAATGGAGTGGGAATTGAGAAATTTAATTCCTGTCAACTGTAATAAATGTCTCTCCCACAGCAGTTCGTGACATTGGTGTCCTCTCCCAGTCTGCAGATATACTGGAGTGATATTTTGTGTGTGTTCCACCCCCTAACAAGAAAAATAATCCCTACCTGGCCAATGAAGAGACATTTTGGGACAATAATATATGCCAACCAAAAAAAAAAAAAAATTAGTTTTCAATGTTCTTGAAATTTCAGGAGTTTTGGAGGGCCTTTGCTGAGGGTTGCTGATACCAAGGTGTGCTGAACATTACCCATGTGCTGTCTGCTTTCTCTTCCAAAGAACTGCATTGAAAAATTAACTTCAAACTATTTATCAGGCCATAAACCCTTCCCTCTCACACCATCTTTATGAAGGAAGTAAAAAAAAAAATAATGTCAGAAGAGGTCTCCCTGCCAGCGTTTTTTTTAATAAGGTCAGTCCTTTAAGAGGTATCCAAAATTTGCTCTCTCTTTTTCATTCATTCTTTTATTTTTAGTGCTATAAAGTTTTAATAATAGGCAATAAATGAAACAGTTCCATTGTCTGAAAAATGAAACGAGCTATCTGTGCACCTCCATAATCCATCCCATATGGCTGATCCTGCCTTTCCCACTGCRTGTAGGATTCAGGACATCATTTCATTGTTTGCTGGGGAAGCCAAACTTTTATCTCGAGAAAAACTAAAAGAGCATTTTCAACACAAAAAACTTTTATTCACTTCAGCTGCCCACATCTGAAAGGAAAGGGCTGTTGTTTGCCTTCAGTTTAGGTTTTTTTGTTTGTTTTTTTTTTTATTTCCATCACCCTGTTGAGTTTCCTGATTGTTGTCCCTTCTCGTTTCCTCCTGGATAAGGAGGAATGAACTTTACCTTTTCAGATGAGCTTTACCTGGTCTCCAAAAAYAGTTTCTGTGGCATTAAACCTGCACATTCACTACCCAAACATTTGGCTAGCTGAGCTCCACACGTCAAAAACTCTGGTTTCTCAAACTTGTGAAGTTCAGGAAAGGAAGTGAGGAATAATCTGCCTCATTCACACATTATSTGGGTATCCTTTCACCACCAGGAAACTTCTTTTTCAACGTCAGGAATTTCTCCTGTTGCATTTTTTACAGATGTTTTATGTGCAAAAAGTGAAGGAGGTGCAAAAATTGGGTCAGGGAATCTCTAAAATAAGCATGAACTAAGACTTGGCCTTTGAACACAGGCTGCTCCCTACCCCAGCAAGCTGAACACCATTATTTAACATGGTTTGAGCCCACAAAGACTGCAAAACATCATCCAACTGCTGAGCTGTTCCCATCATTCCCTCTGAAACACCTCCCTGCTCCTTCTCCCTGCTCAAAGACTGCAGAACTGAGCTATGAAGAGAGGCACTGGTGAAAATAATTGAAAGAGATCCAAGAAAGGATCTGGGAAAAGATTGCTCCCCCATATGTGATGGGGTGTCCCCAAAACTGCAGGATTTTGGCAGTCTCTTGCACCAATGGAGGGAGAGCACAGTCACAAGGAAGGCTGCAAGCTGATGGAAGTGAAAGTTTGAAAATTGAAATTAGTTTTAAAAGCAACAGTCAACTCCATCATTTCTGCAGCAGGCAGCGAGAGTGAAAGAATAACAATAAGTAAGTGGAGGAAAAACATCCATCTCATTCAATGGGAGAGCCTCAACACAAAGGAGAAAGGAAATGTCCTGGAATAAAAKTGGCTTAAGAGTTCCTTTTCTTCCACCATGTTCTGCTTTCCCCACRGGAGCTCTTTCCTCCATCATTTTCTGGCAAACTTTAACCATAGCTTTGACTCTCTATCCAATGTCCTGGAACTCAGAATTCTGTATCTCCTGCTGCTGGCACATCTTTTTTTTTTCTTTCTTTCTTTTAAGACCTTCTACATAAAACCTCTTGAAYATATCCCACTCACTTTCCTGATTCACAAATGGCCCCCTCTTCAAATTCCCCTATTTCTTTTGCAAAAAAAAAAGATCTATATTTCCAGTGGGACCTTCCACTGATGCTCCACAGTTGACTGAAGCCGTGGGAAGCTGCAGAGCATCACAATTTTTTTTTTTTTTTTACCAGTAATCCTAACGAGATTACAAATTCACAAGGGAAAGAAGAGCCATCCAGCACAGTTACAAAATGTCCCATGTGGAGAGCCCTTTCCTTGGACCTTAATTCTCTTCTCCCTCCACATCCGTGGATGTGTCCCCTGGGAAGGAGGAGCTGAGCTTTGGTGTCCTCCCCGAGCTGACAATTTGCAATTTCTGCTCTCAGGCAGACCCCTGGCTGCTCGATGTGCTCACAAATACCTCTGCCTGCCTTTTTCTTCCTAAAAAGCCTCAGGCTGCTCCCTTTGATGTGTAATACCTTAAAGATTTTAATTCCTCTTTACATCAGCAGAGAGCTTTACTGAGCCCTCCCCACAGCTGTGGCCCCGTGTAGCAATTTCCTGCCCTTTCTTAAATCAATGAGCTACAAAGATCAGTAATTCCCAACCTTTTCAGGAAACTGTCCAAATTTCACCGAGCTGGGAGCTTATTAATGCCTTCCACATTAATATAAAGCCCACCATGTACCTGGAACTGCATCAATCCCCATCCCAAACCCAGCCCCCAGTGCACACAAGAAAAATCCCATACCCAGGACACAAAATGTTTTCTCCACACAGGAAAAGAGAGCAGAAWAAAAGTCACATTTGCCTCAAATAGAATTGATGCTCACAGTAGGGATTAAATAAAAGTGGCAACATCTTTATGCATGGCCTCAATAAGATGAGAGCTGAGCTGGGAAGTCTCCAGGTGAATTAATAGGAAGTCTCTAGGTGAGTTAAATGTGTTTTTTTGGGATCGTGGCATTAAAATGAGAGGTGGAAAACACACCCAACCTCCTTCTGAAGGACACAGCAGTCCTGGTAAACACTCCCAACAGGAGCATGCAGGTTAAAGCTGAATTACAGCACCCATGGGGACAGCAAATGAGGCCAATGTGACTTTTTGACTCTGATCTGCACAATCAGAGTTTTGCTTTAAAACTCTGAGCTTCTTGTAATGTGGTCATTTGTGTCTAATTGTATAATTAAGGTTTAAAGCCTTTGTCACACTGATTTAAAAGATAACCACATCATTTAGATCTGAAATAATTTGGATCTGCTGTGCATTCTGGTGCTGGGTTCATGAATGGCAGAAAATGTTGAAACATTTTTTTATTTTATTACTCTTTTTTGTCGACTCCATAATGTCTTTTACTAATACAATGGATGGGGTGATAAAAGCTTTGTTTAACTACTATGCTGTTAAAATATAATTTCTTCTAAATAATATTTAAGGTGTTCTACTTAATTCTTCCATAAAATTCATTACAAAATCAAACAGCACAGTCAAACTGAAACAATGGGACATTGCTGGAGAAAAACTGAAATTATTTGAAACTAAAACATTTTTGCACTTCTATCTGCCAATCTATGGGCAAGTAATTTTTTCTTCTAACATGAAGCAAGCATTTGTACTCCATATGTTGTCATTTCCAGTGAAAATTAAAATTAAAAAGCGCCCTTCATCCATTCCTACATATAATAAAGGAGAATTATTTTGCACAGTGTTAGTCTGTGATCTATCTGTTTTACAGTCTGCAATCCCCCATTTTTCCATCTTTGTTCTTCATTTTAATTTAAAAAAATGTTATTTTTCTCAACCTCTGATGCACGCCCCATACCCTCACCAGGGAAAGGAGGGAAGAGGAAAATTCTGTTACCTGTTTCTCCCAGAATCTCTGAAMCCTTTAGCAAAGGGGTTTCTGTCGATTTTTAATCTGGTGATCTAAAAGGGAGAAAAAAAGAGAATTAGTTTATGTCTTCAATTCTTTTTCTTCCAACAAATGAAAATTATGGGTGATTACCATTCTTGCCCAAGCTGTAAATTATCAGTGGCTGTGTGATTTGGGAAACACTGCTCAAGTTTGGCTGTAATTTGGGTTCTCTCAGCCCTCAACACTCCAAATACCAGCAGCTGGATGCAACTCATGGACCTTCAATGTTAAAGAGAAAAGGCCAAGCAAAGCTACAGTCCCCAAAGATGTCAGATTTTTTTTTTTTGTGGGTTTTTTTTTTATTGTTGTTGTTTTTTGTTGGTTTTTTTTATTTTTTGTT